TTGAGGCGAACTCACCCGGTGGCTCAACAGTTCTAACGTCATTCACCGACTTCCTCTCTCGCCACTCGAATGAGTCTATCTTTTTGTCCCAATGGCATCAATTTCATCAATAAACGCGATGGGTGGTGCATTGTTCGGAGTTTGGGCCCATCGCCCGCTGCATCTGGTACGTTCAGAACCGGCCCTCTCAGGAGAGTGGCTGGGCTTGTGGTGCTACCGCTCTAGCCAGTAAGGTTCCACCTGTGTCAGGTGGACCATGAGAGTGGCCCTGGGGGCTTTATACTGCCTCTTCATAATGTTCAGGACGAGCAAGAGGGAGAACCTCACATGCCTTAAGTCCCTGGGTTTGGCTGTTCGACCCCCCGCCCATGTCAGCTCAATCCCCCCATGTCAGCACAGGTCTCCTGAGGGGCCACTGTCATCACTGTGACCAGCGCCACCCATCAGCACCCCCATCAAGGCGGGCACCTGTGGTCCAGCAGACCCCTGTCTGCAACAGAACAAGTGCTGACGTGGTGTCCTGAACCCACGGCTGTGGACACGGTGGCGGGACTGTCATCGATGAGCTCTTCCAAGGCTCCAAACAACCTTGGGGTCCCCTCAGATCACCCCCCTTAGATCTTTCCTCCTCCTTTCTTCCAAAGGCTTCACTTGTTGCTGATTTCTAACAGGTTGTCCTCCAGGAGACAGTCTTTGATCCTCACTAATGATTTTAAGTGGCGCTGTGTGAAGTGTCCCCAGTGGCAGTCCGCGGGCAGCGTTGGGTCCCTGTATTCTTTTCCCCACTCTGGTTGGTACAGGAAGTTCTCCTGTCTTTTTCTGTCCTTGTCACCCTTCTTGCCAACTCCAGGACTATGACACCACTCTGACTTGGACTCATCTGGCTTCACCTGCTCTGGTTAAAATTCTTGAAGAAAGCTTTCAGCTCATACTACACAGTGCGTGACAGCCACCCCACACTCCTCCCCACACGCAGTGGGGAGCAGAGAAACCCACACGCACCAGAAGCCCATTCGCTGTCTCAGCCTTTACCAGAGCTAGGGATGCAGAGGTCATAAACAGAGATGACTTCAGTTCCCGGCCACCAGCTGGCAGTGAGGGCTCCAAGTCAGATCGATCTGATTGCAGAGTTCACGCTTTTCACACTTGGTGAACTAGCGTCCGCGGCTGTACGGGAATAGTATCTGAGGGGTGTCTGGAACCCAGGTCAGGAAACCCAGCGCCTTCCCCAGAGCCTGGAGGGTTCTCTCCGTGGCCACTAGATGTCAGCCTTGGCTCGGCAGGAGAGAGAGGCAGCCTGGCCCTGAACAGCGCTGGCAGTGAGGGTTCAGGCTACCCGTCAGGAGCGACCAGGGTTACGTGCACTGAACCACCTGGAACCGTCTTATTTGTTTTTTTTTTAAAAACCCGTGTGCAATTATATTTCCACTGAGGCTGCTCTCGGCCTCCTTCTGGGTTCTCTAGTGCCCAGAGCCTACACGCGCTCTGTGACTGTGTGTCCCTCCGAATTACAACTGCCCGTCTGAGCGTGTCTCCCCCAGAGGGGAAGCCCCTCGAGGGCAGGGACCCTAATGCTGTACCCCCTGCCTCAGACCACAGCAAGCCTTCCAGAACCTTCTGCGGAGCCTCGGCGGTTCCGTGAAAACAGCCTGAGAGGCCGGACAACGTACCTCTGCCTGCTGCTGGGGAGGCGCATGCGCTGGACGCCAGGCCCGACGCAGACCCCCGGGAAGAGGACTGTCTCGCAAGACGGCCGGCACCACCGGGTGGCTTTAGCAGGGTTTTCTTCAGCCCCAGCTGAAACGAAACGTTAAGAAATCATCAAAGATGTCATTATCTACCATGACTCACTGCCGCAAAAGTAGGGTTTTAAAATAATTCTTAATGATTTAATAATTATCGTCGTGAATCTAAAGCGGGAAAAGGTCAAGCACTGCTCTAAAGTCCTGCACGAGGAACACCGGGGAGCTCGTTGAAATGCACATTCTCGGGCCCCGACCCAGACCCACTGAATGGGCAGCGGGGGGCCCAGCTTTCGGCAGTTTCTACGCAGACACTCGGCTCAGTCTGGCCACCGACGCTGGAAAACAGACGGCACAGATGCGGAAGGTTCGTCTCCAGGCCTGTGAGGAGCTGCGCTTTCAGAGCTTCGGCACCCCGTCTCGTCCACACAGGGTGAGAGCCGCAGGGAGCAGCTCCGCGTCCGGGACACGCAGAACCAGGGGGACGCTGAACCCAGGGAGGACGGGCTGTTCTCCACCCACAGCGCCCAGCCCCCACCGCAGGGCGGGCCCCTTCATTGCATTTCTCCAAGCTGCCTCTGGTGGGCCACATTTTCGACCTCGCTAACCTTGACCTGAATCAAAAGACACGCCCCATGTATACACGGCCCACCTAGTCCCTCCCTCGCCCACAGCCACAGCCCACCTGCAGCCCGCCCCTCTCACCTTGTTTGGAACAGGGAGCGATCTCTTGCCTTGGACCAAGTGGCTTCCACTGGCTGGCATGCCGGTGACATGCTGGGCAGCGCTGGGCTTGTCAGGTGGGATGTTTCTGTGGGATTCCTTTTCATTTAGGATTTTCATCCTGGGAGGACTAGCTGGTTTCTCTTTCACAGGCTGAAAAATTTTAAATTGAAATGTGAGAACTGTCTAGTCGTCTGACAATGCACAGACACACAAAGGCTTTGATTCAGAGCCGTGGAGGGCACTGTCCATCTTCCCAGCGCTGTACATGTCCCTGACTTCACCAGCGAGACTGAGGGGACCCGAGTGGTTCACTCTCCGCCAAATCACCACGGACGAAAATGATGATGGAATTCGCTTCCTCATTAAAAACGGCCAAATAAAACCAAGATCGATGGTTAACAGGAGAGCCATCTCCCAGAGCCCCTCCTCGGTCAGAATTTCCATTAAGGATGATAATGAGGACACGGGTTCTGGTTACACAGAGTATAAATGCTGTACAGAAGGGACCATTCACCTGCCGGTCAGTCCCTCTACCAGAGAAGCTGCTCGGCCGCAGTAAACCTCCCCCGTCCGGTCCTGAGAGCCACTGCCTTTGGCGAGCCGGTCAGACACACCATGACCCCGTCCACGGGCCTGCGTGGACGACGCCACACTTGCAGAAACCACCCCGATGAACAGTTAGGAAGAAGCAACGGAAGCTCGTAAAGTCACGGGGATGAAGCGGCAACTATGCTTGACGACGTTGTTTAAACTGAGATATTCCTCACATGAGATAAAAATTCACCATTTTGAAGCGCACGCTCCAGGGGTGTATTTGCTGTGTTGGGCAACCATCATCACGACCTAATGGTAGCACATTTTTGTTGCCCCTGAAAGAAACTCATAACTGTTGGCAGTCACCCCCCATCCCTTCGACCTCCCCGGCCCAGGCGGCCACTAATCCACGCCCTGCCTCTACAGTTTGTCGATTACGGGCACTTCTTAGAAATGGGGTCACACAATACATGACCTTTTGTGTCTGGCTTCTTTCACTGAGCAAAAGTTTTCAGGGGTCATCCATTTTATAGCACACATCAGCACTGCATTTCGTTATTGCCAAAAGTACTCCATTGTATGGGTGGACCACGTTTAATTTATCCGTTCATCAGTTGATGGACACCTGAGTTATTGTAAATAATGCTGCAGGCTTTTGTGCGGACACACGTTTTCAGTTCTCTTGGGCACAGACTGCCGGGTCGCATGGGAACCCTCTGCTCGACACCTCCAAGGACAGCCAGACTGTTTCCCACACAATGCGTAAGGGCGCTGATTCCTGCACGTCCCCCACAACACCTGCTCTTTTCTGGGTTTTAATTCTTACTACAGCCGGCCGAGCCATCCTCCTGAAAGCACACTTGTAAGCAGCACAGCCACGTGGTCCCGCCGTTTCGAGACCATCTTCGCAGGGGTGAGAGAGTGCCAGCAAGTCACTAGAGAAGCGAATGGCTCTTCCAGTGGGAAGTGTGTGTGTGGGGGGGGGGCGGGTTCCCATCTCGCTGCCCAGCTAACACTTCACTGACGAAACTCTGCTCACCGCTCGGAGGAAAACAGAAGGCCCCAGAACAGCCAGCGTTATGCTGCAGCCTCTGTCCTCGGTACACGTGTCACACACACAAACTCTCGCCTGGGCTCAGGTGTCACACGCAACAACCATGTCAACCTCATTCTATAAACATCACTTTAGAAATTTACATCCAAACGGCCTCCAGAACCCCAGCCACTCAGGGGAGGCATGGGCCGGCCGCCTCCTCCGCCCAGGCTCTGCCCAGTTCAACTCCGGTCCGGGCCGTAGGGAGTCATACGACCGAAGAGATGGGCCTGCAGAGGGAAAAAGACACCCGGGCCCTCGCTGGGTGTTTTGCCGTGACCTAGACCGCGAACGCCCCACAGAGCGTCATCGCTGTGACGGGCTCGGCTGAGGCCTGTCGCCCAGGGCGGGGCAGAGCCGGGGACAGCTCTTCGGGCCTCTGCAACACTCCTCCAAAGTATGAGCTTCCTCCTCTGCTGAGCACGCAGCCAGACCTGGAAGCACGTCGGGCAAACCTGGAAGCAGCCGACAAGCCCCCAGGACCCCTGGCACCCTGGAGTCTGCTGACCACACCCCAAAGGCAACCCTGTCCACTGCCACTCCCCAGGACAGCTCATCACTTACCTCCTGCGAGGAAAGCAATCTAAACTAAGTCACAGCTAAGGAGGACCACTGGTGGCTACTCCAGGAGGGGGCTTTCTGGAAGTTGCTCGTTAATGCGAATGAAATTCCTAACGGGAGGAATGGCCAACGAGAGGAATGGCCAACAAAACCAAAGGAAAAGTTTCAAACAGAATTTAGGAGGCGGCGCTTTTAAGTCATCACATTAGCGAGGCAGCCCTGGCCCACCCGCCCCAAGCTCAGCTCCCTACTGGGCGACTGCCCTTCCCCACATCCCCTGCGGAGGAGCTGCATCTCCAAGCTCCTCCCCGTAAAGGTTTCCACTGCAAGGCCACACTGAGACGGCTAAGAGGGGGCGGCGTCTCCATCCCCTGGTGAACATTCTGGACAGGGTTTTGTCTACCTTTTCCACGGCCAAATGGATGCTTTTTCCTCTAACAGACGAAGCTCGGGGTGGCAGCAATTTGCTGATGACCTTTTTCTGAGTCACTGCCTGGCTTGGAAGGTGGGTAGGACTTGGTTCCGCTGGCAAAGGACAAGAAGACAGAGGTGGCCCCTGAGGCCAGGAGAGGCTGGCCTGGGCAGGAGCCCCCTGCAGGCCCACGCCCGAGGGGGGCTGGGTCCCCGACAGCAGCGGCCCCATCAGGGGGCTGTCTGACAGGTAGTACGTCTCCCTCTTAAGTGACTTGGGGCTTTTCTTCATTTCATTTTCTTTCTCAAACAGATTCATTTTTAATTTTGATTCTTGTATGAATCTTTCCACGCCCTGGCTCCAGGGGTCTTCGGGCCTGGCAGCTCGGGCCGCCTTGTTTTTGCTGTTGCTTTCTATCTGCAAGGCCAACAAGTGAGCTTCTTTATACACTTCCACAAACTTCTCCCCAGGGAGAGGGCTCCAGCGGAAGTGACTCTGTGATGCTGGCCAAAGAGGTTCTTCCGGAATCTTTGTATTTAATTCTAAGCTGGCAGCAATACATCTTTCTTTATGCCCAACAGGTCCAAAAAAGACTTCATCGTCTTCATTTGCACTATTTCAAAAGAAAAGGATTATTAGTAGCACTGGCATTTAAGTGGAAGCTTTTAGAATGTGGTCACACTCAAGGCAAGGGAAGAAAACTCATCTGCTCACCTTAAAGAAGACAATGAAAGATCAAAGTCAAATTTTTCATCAGCCAAAAGAAGAATGTCTGGGGGGAGAAAAGTCTGCCATTATTTTAGGGCTGGGGCTGATAGAGAGAAAAACATTACCGGTCTCTACGGCCGAACCCGCAGATAAAACCGCACTTTGCACCCCATCTGTGTTCCCGCCATACTGCCTTCCCAGCCCCGTCTGTTTATATGTCTAACAGACCACAGGCTCTGGGTTAGGGGGTCCCTCTGCTAGCTCCCACGCCCCACTCCGCCCCAGGGCTCCCACAGCACTTGGACCCGACTTCTGTCACTGCACTAGGCTAGCTTCACTGTTCTGTAAATGTCTCTTGACCCCTCTGTGGCCCCCAGGAGACTGTAAGCTCCTCCAAGACAACAAACTAACTCTCTCCCAATGTCCAGCTAAATGCCTGGACACTTCGCAAATACTGATCAAAACACACTGAATTGACATTTCAATAAAGTTTATACGGAATTTAACAATTCTTATCTTATTTGATCCCAACAAATGCTGCAGCATGCTTAGTAAAACCATAAAGTTTTAAAATATATTAATAACCTAATTAGGTCCTAATTAGTCAATTCGATTAGCCCTAGTTACCTAATAATCAAGGCAAAGGTAGAAAGCACAAATGCACAAAAGAAATAAGCAGAGAGAGAGGAAATTAGAAGATTCATAGGCTAGGTTGCTCGACTCCATGCACATACAGCTAAGAACTTGGCTGAAATGCATAATTATCGAGGAAGCAGAATTTACTTTTTTTGTATTTAAATTATTTATATTGATTTATTTATAAAACCGACTCCAGAAGAGAGGAAAACATCTTAATTATTCATTTATCATAAAATAACTGGACAAATTTATTAAAGAGATATTCTCCCCCCAAAAGCACAAGTCCCAGATAGTTTCGCAGGATAATTCTACCAAATATGTGTGTGTGCGTGTGTTTTTTTTTTTTTGGCAAGGCAACCTTTGGTTGACCTCACAGAATAGTTTCGCAGGATAATTCTACCAAATATATATATACATATATATATATTTTTTTAGGCAAGGCAACCTTTGGTTGACCTCACAGATCGCAAGGATTGCCAACTTACAATCCCTTATTTTTTGTTTTTTATGCCTACACCAACTTACAATCCCTTATTTTTTGATTTTTACGCCCACAGCACCTGGTCTTCCTAGTGGTCTCCCATCCAAGTACTAACCAAGCCCGACCCTGCTTAGCTTCCAAGATCAAACGGGATTGGGCTTGTTCAGGGTGGCATGGCCGTAGACTACCAAATCTTTAAAGAACATATAATTCCAAATTTATTTATATTGCTCCAAAGGACAGAACACGGAAATCTCCCAACTTAATTTTATGAAGCATATATAACCACACCGAATCCTAGAGTTTACCCAATAGGGAAAGCTACTGACCAGTCTCAACATAAAAACCCTAAGTAGGAACATCAGCAAATAGAATCTAGCGACACATCAAAAAAAGACAACTAACTCATGACCAGGTGAGGTTCGACCAGGACTGGAGGACTGCAGGCCGTCTCATTCCACACAGCCTAGTGACACCCTCCTCGTATCACCAGACCTAAAGGGAGGCCCACGCGATTGTCCCCATGCGTGTTGACAAGGCATATGATAAACTGCGACATACGCTGTTGACTCTGAAAGCGCTTCATGAAAAGTAATAGATGTATTTTATCATAGAGGAAGTATCCAGCTCAATCCGAAAGCCAGAATTAGGTTTAATGGGATACCATGAGAAGCGTTCCTTCTAAAGCCGGGACAAAGATATTCTATCAGGATAGGCTAACTTATGCTGAAATAACAAACCACCACCAAGTCACGAGTGGCTTATAATAACAAAGCAGCATTTCTCACTCAAACCCTGTGTCCCTGAGGCTAGGCTGGCCCTGTCCCACATCCTCCTCACTGCAGAACCCCACTGATGGAGCCTCCGCCTTCGGCAACTCTGCTGATCTTCATGGCAGAAGAGGAGATAGTAACTTTCAAGGCACCTGAGCCAAATGCAACTTCAAGTTGCAAATACAACGCTATCATGTACCCATGAGGAAAAAAAAACGGAGAAATACTGAGGACCAGCACCAGGGATGACCATCGACGTATAAATTAACCCACAAGCCAGCCTTAGGCTTAATGGAAAAAGACGAAATTCCATCAAAGCCGGCAAGGCACTGACCTCTACTCTCACCACGATTGTTCTGTTACGCATTACCTAATCAGTCAGACGAAGAAAAATAAATCATGGGGAAATTATTTTATAACCTGGAGTGCGGAGGTCTAAGACACCAAACTGGAAGCCATAGAATAAAAGGTTGAGGGTCCAATATGTAAAAAATGTTTCAAATCTCTGCATGGCAAAAATCACCATGAGCAAAGTTAAAAGAAATAATTAATGGGGAAAGTTTATTTGCAGCTCACGTCGCAAAGGGCTAACTCAAAACGGTGCCTACAAACCACTAAGAAAACAAGAACATAATGGGTGAACAGACAAAGGTTATGAACAGATAAAATTCATGGAAAATAAAATGCAATGGTCTTAAATTTATGACAAAAAGTTCAGCCTCGCTCAAAAATACAAGTAATGAAAAATAAACGCAGCAAAGGATTCCACTAGTCACTTGTCAGATTGTTAAAGATTAAAAGTTAGGTAAACTGTAGGCAAGGCTGTGGGGAAAGAGATTCTGCTGGGGAAGGCGGCGATTATTATGGCTCTGCCGAGGGTAACGGGGTGGTGCCTGCCTCCCAGGTCTGAGCACACAGCGCGAGGCCCAGCACGTCTACCTCTGTGAGCGTATCCTGCGGACACTGATATCCAAGATCATCGAGATAAATGAGGCACCAAAAAATAAGATGCAGGACAGGGCTGGATATGCGGCGAAGAGGGGAAGCTCTCTAAAAAGCAGAGAAATGACTGGCCTTGGACACATAATGCTCGCGCTTGCACAGAATGCATCTGAACGAACACCCAAGAGGCCGATGACACCAATGGGCTTTAGAGGGGGCAACTGGGTGGCTGAGGGACAAAAACGAGAGGCAGATATTTCACTTTTTACATGTCTGAACCTAGAAGTCAATTTTATAGGTCACTTCTGGAAACTTCCAATGGTCAGGTAGAGAAAAAGGAATTCTGGACCAGGAGTCAGGCTCCAGCAAAGTGACCTTGGGCTGCTGACTCATTCATTTTGCAAACATGTGCCACGTTCTCTACCAGCCGCCAGGCAAACACAGGGCACATGGTGCTGCCCCCCGGGCATGCACTGCTTAGCGGCGAGTGATGCAGCAAATGCCTTCCTATATACAACGAAGAATCCATGGTGACTGGCAAGTCCCTAGACGGTTTCTGCAAAATGAAGGTGATAAGGACACTTGGATACTCAGTTTACCTGCCTCGCATGGGTGTGGTGAGGAGCAAAGGTAAGAGGATGCCAACTTGCTTTAAAGGATAAAGAGGGCACTGCTGTTAATTCATCTTACGAGGCTGTACCCTCACCTGGGCACTCGAACCAGACAGAAAGAACAAGACAGCAAAGTTACAGGCCAGGCTCCATGACTACTATGGTCGCAAAGATCCCAAACAAGTGTGGGCAAACGCAAACCAGCGGCAAACATAAAAACACCAAATTCAATCCCGCAAATATCCCATTGCCTATGAAGCACCAGGTGCTCTTGGCACTGGGGACACTGAAGCAAATGAGAGTGGTAAGAACCCCTCTTAGGAGGGAATTTAAAGCTGGGTTGGGGATATGGGGGGCGGGGAATGAAAAATAAGGGTGTTAGACGGTCGCAAACTCCTTGAAAAGGGCTATGAGTGCCACGGGTACGGAGCACAGACAGGGTGAGCACTGAATAAATAAACAAATTAAGTCATCACAGAAGGATTAAAGCAATCAACATCTTCACTGAGCTCCCTGAATAACGGGTGCTGCAGTGACAAGGACGTACCATCCTTCTTGGGAACATCAGTCGCCGTTTCTCCTGCCTGGCTGGCTGAAGGCACTTCGCTGCCGTCTCCTTCCATGCCGAGTGCTATCGGGAAGTGCCTGCAGGGAGGAGGGGGACAGAGATGAGCAGGTCTCGGAACCCAGGCCCCCGGTTCCTCCGCCCCTAGTGACTCCCAGCAGCGTGAGCCGCTGCGGCACGGATGGGGACAGAGCGAGCTGTCCCTGGCGGCTGCGGCCAGGTCAGGGAGAAAGGCAGCCAGAGGCCGCCTGACATACAGCTCGAGACCCTCCGCGACGCACCCCCAGAGGCCGCGCGCCTCCAAGGCGGGAGCTCCGGGAGCGACGCCGGTCCGAGCCAGGCCTGAACGCCCCGGATGGGGACAACGGAATTCCCAGCTCTCGGGCCGGACTGTGGGGACTGTGGTTTGTTCCCGGAGTGGCCACGTCCTAACTGTAGTCCCGAAGGAGCGCGCAAGGGGACCCTACCGACCCCAGCCCGAGCCCAACTAGACCCCCTCACCCCTAGCGGCTGCGATGTCCCGACGACTGGCCCTGCCTCGAATTTAAATGCGGCACGGCGGGCGCGGTGCAGGCTGCGATTGGCCGGTTTGAAAAGGGCAATGTAAGGTCGCCGCGCCCAGTGCATCCTGGGGGTTGTAGTCGGGGTGGGGCGGGGCCGGAGGAGGAGCGGGGCG